TTCATCTTCTTCTTCTCCTCAATTTCTTCCGGGGACTCGCATGTTCGCTTGTATTGGCTAGAGGATGTTCGGCTGAAGGCCAAATGATGCGCTTTTTCAGGTGGCAAAACGTCGCGCAGAGCACAGAATAATGGACTTCGTTTGTTGGCTTCACTTGCACTTTGTTATCTTCCTCCTATCCTTGAGTGAGGAAACGACCGGTGAGGCGCCGGCCTGCTATTGGACGCCGGAGCGGAGGTGTACCCGACGAGGGTCAACATGCTGACTAGGAGGCACTTAAGTCGCAAACACTACAGTGGGCCAATTCTACGCTGTATTTTCGGGAGGGCGACACCCGACTGTTAGGTGAAGGCAACCGTTACTCCACGTCCACTCCGAGGCCAACATCGTAATCCCCTTTAACGTTTTATAAGGTGTCCTGCTTTATCAAGAGCCCAGTATTCTTCACCAAAAAACAAACTGCAAAAAAAAACTAGAATACAGAGTGCAATTTACAACGCTTCAAAGGGATCAGAATGGATTAGATACAGCAGTGAACAAAAATTGGGGGCCAATTTACCTATCAAGAGCATGGTAGAAGAGTTCGAGGTCAGAAGCCGCCATTTCCGCAGTCTAAAAAAAACAAATGCACACGTATAGGCGATATGTTTGACAGAGAGGCGTTGCGGTTCTTGTAAACCAACACGAATTCCAGGTCAGGTAAAAGAACATGTCACCTGTGTATGACGAGTCAAAAGAAAGCGTTCCAAGGATAATTAAATGTGTCTCCTGTTGCCCCTCGACAGTACGAACTCGCCTGAACACCTGACAATAGTTATTTGTAAAAGCAATGCTACTCACTGTTTGTCAATAATATTTCAATAGTGACAATTGTACGCTTGTGTGTACAGATGTATATGACGCACCGGAATGTAATCAATAAGGTTTTCAAAGGCATTGCCTATTACCCTCACCAAATAAACTGAAGGGCATGTACTGGAATGTTGTAGGGTTTATAACAGTCCACAGACATCCGTAGTTATTCCTGCCCCTTTATCAGCAAACACTGCAGATACTTTCAACGCAAAACACAGTATCCAGACTATGCGGTACTTGTTAGCATTAAGTAGTTCAGTCTGTTCTGAGATAAACGGTTAACTAATGCTCAAACTCTCACGAAAACGACAGTTTTTGACAGGAGCAATGGTTCTAGGAAAGTGTTCTTGAAATGAATAAAACATTTGGTAGGACTGACTTCAGAAGTCCTATT